TGCTCTATTCCTAAGTAGAACACAACTAGCTTAAAGTCTTAGTTACAAGTAAAATAAATAATAGTAATATGTAGTTATATACGAGAAATCTAGCCTTAATTAAACTCCTTTATGTGAGCAGTCCTCTTGTAGTTGGGCTCCCAATGTATCTATAGCCTGATAAAGTGTGGCCTAATAGCTCATGGCCCTTAGGTTTGCATGTAAAGAACATTTCAAAAGGTGTTTATGAAACAATATTTTAAAAGGTGTTTTATTTCCTAAAATTGGTGTAGAAACCCAATTAATAATGCAAGCAACAATAAAAATAGCATCACCCCACTTTTTTTTTTAAAGCTTGAGATAAAAGTGACCTAGCTGCCACTGATAGATGTTGATGTTTTCTATCAACAATGCTGTTTTGTTGGGTGATCTTAATGCAAGAGAGTTGAGGCACGATACCTTTGGAACTAAAAAAATCAATAAGGTCAAACTTAGAACAATTATTTGACCTTATTTATTTAATAGAAATATTGAATTAATTTAAAATCAAATTATAAAATGTACACAAAATCATTGACACTTTTGATTTATGTTTCATTAAAAAAATCCATGTAAACCAAGTGTATTCATCAACAATAGTAAAAACATATATGCCTTGAAATTGTAGACAGTTCATATGATCCCAAAATATGAACATTTATTAACTTAAAAGCAAATGTAAAACTAGGTACATGTGTTGGAAAAGGGAGCCTTTTTTGTTGTACAAGAGGGCATACATCATAAATAAAACTGTTTGTACAAGTTACATTAGGAAAAACTTGATGAATCTATTTTATTCTTTTGGGTGGAATGTGCCCTAATCTAAAATGCCACAAATCAAAAACATTTGACAAGCTTCAGCAAGTATTTACAATTGGAAAATCAACATGTCTGTCTTTTTGAAATTATGCAATCAATTTTGCATTCAACTCCTTTTGTAAGAGATAAAGCCTGTCTTTCTCTCTAGCACCCCTTATCACTTTCTGGGAAATTGGGTACTGTGTGATGCAATATGAGTCAATGAAAAACAATGTTGTTTTGACATTTTGCTATTTTATTAACACAAATCAAATTGAACCTAAAACTTGGCACACATAAAACAGTTTTTAAAGTCAAATTTCCTAATGGAATAGTGCCTATGTGAGTTATCAAAACATTGGTCTTATTTGGCAATTGAACAAACTTGTTATGTACTTTCTTATAAGCATGAAAATATTTCCTATTTCTAGCTATATGATCAGTAGCATTAATGTCAAGTATCCAAGTATCAATATCTAAAAGTGGACATGCTTAAGCATGAACATTATTCACAAAAGAATATGGAAAAGAAGTATTTAAGGAAAAACAAGAATATTTATAGAACTTAATTGCCAGAGTTGAATTCCCCATAGTAGTCTTACTTTGTTGGTTTGATATTGTAAAATTATCATAATTAACAAATGATGGTTGCTCATTAATAATAGACATGAGCTAGTGAATTTGATCCTTAGAAAGGCTAATTTGAGATATGGAACTATAAATGACGTCATCACCAACTTCATCAATTTGGATCAAAGAGACCATATTGTTAGTCGAATGATATTAACCTTTCTTAGCACTGCCATTAAACTTGTTCTTAATAAATTTATAATCTGTAAGAAAATCGATCAAATGATAGCGTTTTTCTTCCCACGATGAAACCACAGATCTATAATCAATTGAGTTAAACGTTAAAACAAACACCAAAATCGAATCTTGAAAATGAAATCTTTAAACAATATCAAGCAAAAAACAAGAAACCTTTACAGATGTGTAAAGAAAATAATCTAAAATAAAAAAACCCTAGCTCAACGCTATTTGAAAGATCAAACACAAGAGTAACACAGTCACACAAAAATAACCACAAAATTGAAAAAATAAACTGATTAAAGGAAAGATCTAGATGAAAAGATTAAGAATCAAGAATCAACCAAAGAAAAAAAAACCCTTGATCGAGCTTTGACACCATGTGAAGAATCGATATATTCTAGAGAAAAATATGAAGAACACATTTGGGCATTATAATATTTGCATTATTTGTCGATATTAAGGTGACGTTGGGTATTTTGTTGGGAATGTGATTGTTGGGAATATAATTGCTAAATATATGATTGTTGGGAATATGATTGTTGAAAAGATAACTTTGCAATGTTTGGTATACCATGGGAAAGTGAGAACTGTAGAGAATGTAATTACTAGAAGGATTACCTTGTAGTGTTTAGGTTGAAAGTATTTTATTGAGAATGTAATAAAAATTTATAAAATCGCCCTTCTATATGAAAAGATAAAGTTATAAACTTACATTTTTTTTTGAAAATTACTAGTTTGATTTCATTAAAAAGGCATTAAGAAGGAAAGAATGAAAAAGTTCTTTCCAACATTGGGAGCTTATACAACAAAACCCAACCATAAGCACCAATATGATGGAATAAACACCCATTTTACACCAAAAAAATGCCCCTGCTTTCCCAAAAGATAGAAAAAACAAAAGCAACCCCTAACAAAAAAAAAAAAAAA